ATTTCAAAATCCCAGATTTGATGGTTTAATTTTTGTGGGGTTTTTTGGGTTTGGGTTTTGGTTTTTTTTTTTTAGTCATGTTTCTCATCAGACAAGTTCCAAAAGTTACATAGTCTGTATTTCTTTAAAAATATTGATTTTAAAGGGCTTTTTTTGTTTTGTTTTGGGAGGTGGGGATGAGGCAAGCTCCAGTATCCTATTACTCCTGTTGCATGGGGATTCTCTTAAGTTTCCTTTGCCTTAGGAAGGTGACCTTAATCCTTGTGGAACAGCTACCAGAGTGAGGACAGTATTCTAGATCAATGTGTTAAAAGGCTTATTGCCAGGACTGCACAGAGGCACAGCAGGGATGGGGGGACCCCATTAATCTTATCAGAGGAAGTATCCCCAGGTTCTGTCATTGGAGAGCCATCAGTCCCATTGCCCAGGTATGGCATGCATCAAGATAAGTCAACAGAAGGGCTGTCTGGAACAGTTTGCAAGGTTAAGGAGGTAACTGCCTACAGAATGTGGGACATACTACAGGATGCAGGAGATGAGCACCTTGTGAGTGTACAAAACTTATTTTGGGATGCTTAGGGGATGAACTAAACGGAGGGAATAAGGTTCGTCGAGGAGGAACAAGTATGGGAAAATAAAAGGATAAGGGGATAAAAGGGATAAGGGGATAAAGGGCCTGGTTGATTGTAAACAAGTGGTTGGTCACTATGTTTGGCCATGCCCTGTGCCAGATTACTGCAGCCTGTCCTCTTTTTTCATTAAGCTCCATTTCTAACTGTTTTCCTGGATGAGAGAGCTCTGTGCTGTATTCATACTGAGGAATAAGCGCTGGCAACTGGAGTGGTAACGTAAGTTACAGGGACCTCTGTGCCTGATGTGCCTGTCAGCAAGGGGAGAGACTGGACTCAGGGAGGGTCTAAATGGCAGCAGCCACAGTGGAGACTGTAAGTCACAGTGGTTTCCATGCCTCTGAGCACGAGTAACTGCACAGAACAGAGTGCATGCATATTGTCTTGGCAGGCATGCCAGTGTGTGGCTGCTAGTGAATGTCATGCAGGGCTAGCCAGTAAGTAGGGTAAGACACTTGGGAGCCAGATTTTGGGGCAGCTCTAAGTGTGGTACAGGTACTAGTGAGATCATAGGGTACCCAGTTTGGCAATAGAATACAGGAGGTCCAAGCCAGCTGCTGAAGGGACTGTAAGATCTGGGGGTTGTTTTGGAGGCTCATTTGCATGTGTCTCTGGGCAGGGCAACTGGAGACAAAAGAATTCAAGGGCCAGTTACTGAGTGGACTGAATGTCTGAGGCCATTTGCTGGGGAGCTGTGATATGTCTGTGGGTGTGGACTGTGTGTATCTCAGTGAAGGGGGTTTGTACCAGCAACTGGAGTGGGGCTTTGGGGAGGCTGAGACTTCAGTGTTGGTTCCTGGGTAGATTGAGTGTCTGAGGCCAGTATAGTGGATCCCTTCACTGTGCACGCTGTACATATGTGTCTATTCTCCACTAACAGGCTTTTATCCTAGTCAGCTAGGGAGAGTAGCAGCATGGGGCCAGACCATGTTTGTGTTTGCATGAATGCAGTTTTTAGCTGTATTGATCTGCATATTCAGCCATGTATATATGCATGTTTGTATGTGCAACTCTGAGAATACATCCTTAGCCTTGTTGCTGGCCAGACCTGGGGACATGGAGTTGCAGCTGCTTTGTCTTTATTGGGCTACCAGTTTCAGCAGCTTATAACACATAAAAAATACTTTTTCTGTAAGTTTGAAGATGCAGATTCACAAAACTTGGAGCCACATCTACAATGGCTGCCATGTTGTGATAGAATTTTAAAATATTTGTTGGTCTGGCTGATGAGAGTAGGGCTGCCTATGTGAATATCTGAATAGATCTATTTATTTAAGCTGCCATGATAGAGCAGTGGAGCATAAATTAAATTTAAACCTAGGGTTTTATTGTAGGTGGTTTTTAAATAGCGTTTGTCTTTTTAACTCGAGTGAAGTGAAAATAGAAATAGCAATAAAAACTCTGTTAGTGACTGGGTAGGTTTTGTACTTACCTTTTCCCTCTCTGTATGTCATAGAATCATAGGATCACAGAATGGGTTGGGTTGGAAGGGACCTTTTAAAGATCATCTAGTCCGATGCCCTGCCATGAGCAGTGGCATCTTTCACTAGATCAGGTTGCCGAAAGCCTCATCCAGCCTGACCATGAACACTTAAATGTTTTGTATGTTGTGACCCTCAGTAAACCCCTGTGTAGAAAAGAATGTTAACAGAGAGTCTGAGTGGGGATGCTTACCATAATAAGAAATGCCCTTATAGACATTTTCTGGCTCTAGTCTAATGCTGTAGCACTCAGTTATTTTTACTGGTAAGTTAAAAGACAGTACTTAGATCACATATAAAGATAACCTAAAAAAAAAATTCTGTTTACTGTTGGAGTTTATAAACATATGGATACACAAATATGTATATAGTAGTCCAGTCTGTTTATATAAAATAGATAGATTATTTTAGATTGAAAATTGTAACTAGTGGCATTTTGTATCAAATACCAAGTACAGCTTCGGCATCTGTCCCAGTCTGCTTCCAGAAATCCTCTTTGCTTCTGGAATCAACTTCTGATTCCCAAATGTGATGAATGCGCTTTTTTCTCTTTTAACGTTTCCCATACACTTTAAGGTTTTTTTCCTAAAGAATCTAATATAACATAATTCCACAGTATAATAAGCAGCAGTTATTTTCAAGTGATTTTCTATTTATTTTTTTCTCCAAGCAAGAGTAATTTTAGCAGCTCTTAGAGCAGATAACTGAAATTGTATGGCAAAGAGGTGCCCAATATTGAAAAGTGGAACAATGGAGACTTTTTCTTCTAGAAGGTGCTGCAGCTACGACGTGTGCCTTTTTTTTTCCCTTTTTAATATGCAGAAGGAAGGCATTGCTGTATTTTGGACCTCTGCCTTTGTGTATTGCAAATTTTGTGGGATTTTGTGGTGGTACATGAGGAAAATGAAAGCAAAAAATAACCATTTTAGTACAGTGAATGCTTTTCAGCATCATAGGGTGCTTGTGTATATGGATTTTTCCTTCAGTGTGGGTCTTTTTTGTTTGGGTTTTTTTTTTTTCTTTGGTTGGTTGGTGGTTTTGGTTTTTTGGGGTTTTTTTTGGTGGTGGGGGGGGAAAGGCACCTGATCTACATCCTCATGTTTTTTTCCCAAGTTAGTGACATAAAAGGCAGTAGAAATAAAGCTGGAAACCAAGTCATTTTTTCAAGGCATGGGTTGCGAATGATAATACAGTCAATTCTATACTTTAAGATGTGATGTCTAAAGGCAACTGTTAGTCTCCACCAAGATGTAGTACTGAATTGAGGGAAGACAATGTATGATTAAAAAGTTGTATAGTGTGTTTTTTCAATTAAAGAACTATAGCTGCTTATCAGCCTCAGTTATATGATTTTGATACAACCTTTAAGTTTCTTGATTTTTATTTTATGCTTCAGATTGTGTTTCCAGATTTCTTTCCTTTTTCTAGCAGTGTGGAAGGAAAAGTGTATCATCTTAGAGCCACTTCTCTCTTAAAATGCCTTAGATTTCCATGTGTGCAGTAAGTATGATGATTTCTGAAAGTGCCAACCTAACAAAACACACACTTGCTTTCTGTCCTTTCTGCTGTCTGTTCAGGAGAGCACTCAGACAGACAGAGAGCTGGTATTTGGAGTGTGTGTTAATGCAGAATGATTCATGCAGCTTGCTCGGGGACAGTCTTTTTCCAGTAGACTATATATAGCCAACGAGTGAAGTGGGTGCAGGCTAAATGAGTTGTTTTGGTGGCTGCAGTTCTTCTGGTCGATGGTTTTTATTGATGCTCCGTGCATTCCATGATTTTCTTTTTTTGGCTCCCTAACTAACTAAATTGGGTTCTGCCCAGAGACATTAAGAATGATCCTAATGGGGGGAACATCATCAACTTGTTTGTAAGGCTCTGGCTTGAATTTAATAGTCAATGTTTTTGTAGCTTAGTCATGAATTATTAGAAAATATCTCAACACTTTGCAAAGATGAAAAGGCCTTGGGCCTCAACAGCCTGAAATTGGTTTGCAAGTGTTTAATATATAAAAACTCCCACTTGTTTTGGATGTATAAATCTCACTTTATGCAGGTGTTGATACAGATTTTGTTTGATTTTATAAAAATGGTCGGCCAATTCCGTAGGTTTTTGAGGAGAAGTGAAGGGTTTTGCTTTTTGTTACAGGAATACAAGGGGTTTGATTTGTAGAAGAGGCCCTGAGGCTGATGCGCTTTCTTCTTCCGTTTAAGAATGGGTGTTTTTGTATGTAGATTCAGATGTTGTCTTACTCTTTCTTCTGAAAGTGTATCCTCAGTACTTCCTAAAGTGGAAGGGAAACTCCACTACTTTGACAGTAGATTTCCTTTTATAACTCTTCAAGATCTGCTGGTGTTTGACATCTCTTAAAGAATTCCCATAGTATACTTACTCCTGGAGTTTAGGTACATCTCATGTCCATGTTGTATCTTGACCTGTAGATTGCTTTTGTTCATCATCTTTTGGCTTTGTATTACATTTTAATGTAATAGATATTACATTTTAAAGCATAGGTTTCTTGGGATGAAGAGAGTAAAGAAGAGAACTTATATTACATTTTTATAATTAAGATATTGCACTTTAAATATATACGTTCTTGTATAAATATGACAGGGTTTTTGTGTGTACAGTCACTACTGTGATTATAAGTTTAAGCTAAAGAATATGATAAGCCTTTTGCGCTAAATTTATCAGTGGTTGTACAATTTTGTATGAATATTTGCATTGTTCTTGTACTTAAACCTCCAGGCAAGCCCACGGGGACTGAATCTGAGCTAGAATGGAGATCTCTACTTCCAGATATTTAGTCCTTGATTTCTTCCTGTAGTTTTAGATTTGATTTCTGTGTTAAGCAGCTTTAATGTATTTTTCATTTGTTTTTGACAGTGTATTACCTTCAGGAAATGGCCTCTTCTAAGTCTTTGATGAACCTTCTAACCTTCACTTTTGGATCAGCAATAGGATTTTTTGTATGCTATCTTCTGTTTAGCATTATACTAGAAGAACAAGTGAAGATCCAGCCTCATGTCCTTCACAATGATCCGCATGGTCAGCATTCATCAGATACCGATAACAATCAGCTGCAAGGACAAATGAATTTCAATGCAGACTTTGGACAGCATAAAGGTATTTTGTTATGCCTGACTAATTATATAATATGCTCCCTTTTCATGCATGGCAAAGTGTTGCCTGTATTCACTGCCAAGAGTTTGTATGAACCTTTTCTTTCACTTTCCCCATGTTCAGATTACCTCTAAATAACTTTGTTCTCCAGAGGTCTAGTGAGTGGTGGTTTTCTTTGTTTACATTTTTATTCTAGTAGTGATTTTTCTTTTCCTTAGAGCCCAACTGTTTGTTGAACTTCTGTATCCAGACTTGTTTGAAGCAGGAACTTCTCAAGTGAAGTATTGACATCAAATGGTGATTTTGCTAAGCAGATGTATTTGCTAGCATTGTAGATGTGCCTCAACATAAAGCTTTTTAGCTTTATGGAGCTACTTTTGAACCACTTCTAGCATTTGAAATAGCCTCTTAGATAAAGCTGTAACAAAAACCCCAACAAACAAACCCAGACCAAATCAGAAATCAGAAAATCCCTGTTTTACACAATTAGTAAAACATGGAATTGGGATAGTGGAGTGGTCAGAGGGGGTCGCTGAAGTCATTGTTTGATTGTTCGGCAAGCTGATTATGCAGCAGTCATAGAACAATAGAATCATAGAATGGTTTGGGTTGGAGGGGACCTTAAAGATAACCTGTTTCCACTACCCCTGCCTTGGGCAGGGACACCTTGCACTAGACCAAGTTGCTCAAAGCCCCCTCCAACCTAGCTTGAACACTACCAGGGATGGGGCAGCCACAGCTTCTTTGGGCAACCAGTGCCGGTGAACAAGCTCAGGTTGCTGTTGCAGTCAAAACCAGAGAAACTGGATTACATGCTGGATTTTTTTTCTTCTTTTTTTCCCCAAAGAACATAGACACTTCTAATATATCAGGCATACTTTTACATTTGATACATCTCATTAAATGTGTTCATTTTAAATACAGATAGCATTTGAGTTGGGACAGTTTGGATGAAAAAAATTGACTCTAATGCATTTTCTGAAGAAGATGTTAATTGATTTGCTATTTAAATGTATTTAAACTAAAACTTCATAAGACAAGTTTGTGAGTGTTTCACATGTAACTGTAGAGCATTGTTACAAAGAAATCTGATCTGCTGTTGCATAAACAGCAATATTTTAGGATCAGTTTCACTGATCTTATTCCCCATGGAATATTCTTTTACACGAGTTACGATTGCTGTATATACGTCAAGTGAAAACGTTTCTTTGGGGGAAATTAATGCTTTGTCAGCTTGTCAAATATTATGTGCCTCAGATAACCGTGTCTGTTTATTCTGTTGGATTGTCTGCAAATAAAAACATTTAAGCACAACAGTAATACTAGTTTCACAGTATCCTAACTTACTTAATCTGATTTTTCACAAATAAGGTTTAGCTTGATTTGGTGATAAATGCTTGCTTTCTGGCTTACCACCTGCTTTTTCCTTCAAAAATATAGCACTGTTTTAGAAATACTTACTAGCTTTTGTTAGTTAACAAGACTATATACAGCAGACTTTATTAGCTTTTTGACCTCTCTGTGCTGTAATCATTAAGTTGTGTTCACTGCACATGGCAAAAATACTCAGCTTTTTAATTTTCATTAGTCGTCCAACACCATAAAAAACTTGCCTCCCAACAGTTTTTATGTACAGATGAAGGTTTTCCAAAGCCTGTTCCCTGAACAGGTACCTATTCCAGTCTGGCTCTTTTGCTCTTGTTTATTCTGTTAAGTTGAAGTCAAATCATAGAATAGTTAGGGTTGGAAAGGACCTTAAGATCATCTAGTAACTTTAAAAATTTTAATTTCTGGGTTTGGGGAGACTTGTTTGCTTTCTTTCTAAATCTAACATTAATTTCATTAACTTCTACATTTGGAAGCAAATGCGTTTTCTCCCTCTGCATCTCTTTTCTGGTAGAGAATATCTAGGGGGTAGGCTGCTCTTTGTTTTGCAATCAAGTCTAATACTGTTCTGGAACTTTTCTCTTTTTTTATTAGATGAGAATAAAAATATTGCAGAGGGACTGTATCAGAAGGTGAAAATACTGTGTTGGGTCATGACTGGACCTCAAAATCTAGAAAAGAAAGCCAAGCATGTTAAGGCAACTTGGGCCCAACGTTGTAATAAAATACTTTTTATGAGCTCCGAGGAGAACAAAGACTTCCCAACTGTGGGTCTAGAAACCAAAGAAGGCAGAGACCAACTGTACTGGAAGACTATTAAAGCTTTTCAGTATGTGCATGACCATTATTTTGATGATGCTGATTGGTTTATGAAGGCAGATGATGATACATATGTTATATTGGACAATTTGAGATGGCTTCTTTCAAAATACAGTCCTGAACAACCAATATACTTTGGAAGAAGGTTTAAGCCTTATGTGAAACAGGGCTACATGAGTGGAGGAGCAGGTTATGTTCTGAGCAAAGAAGCTCTGAAGAGATTTGTTGCTGCATTTAAAACAAACAAATGCTCTCATAGTTCCTCAATTGAAGACCTTGCACTAGGAAAATGCATGGAGATCATTAATGTGGAAGCAGGAGATTCTAGGGATACAAGTGGTAGAGAAACATTTCATCCCTTTGTTCCAGAACATCACTTAGTCAGAGGATACCTGCCAAAAACATTCTGGTACTGGAATTACAATTATTATCCTGCTGTAGAGGTAAGTCCTTAGGAGCCTGGTACCCATTTTATGAAGTACATCTTATGATGTGTGAATTAGCAGTTTAATAGTTGCTATATATATATATTTTAGAAAAGAAGATTTTGTTGTGATACCCTGTGATACACCTGTGTGTAGATACATTAAATCCACTAATCAATTCAAAGTTGATGCCAAGAGCCTAATGTTGCAGAAGAGCTAGCGAATTTTAAATTATTATTGCTGTTTTGCTATGTTCTGTGGACAGCAAAAAATGATGAAACCTTTTTGACATGTTTTAGTGTCACCACTACTACCTTCCTCGCAAAGTTACTGTTCTGTTTCAGTCTCTCACATCTTGCACACAGTGTCCCTAATTTCTCCTTCAGCCATCCAGCTACCAGTATGCAGTGAGACTGGTGCGGTTAATTCCAAGGTGTATGCTCTCACTGCATAGAGCTGGGCCAAACAGTATGGCGTAGGTATATTGAAGCCTACTGAAAGGGAAGGTGGCACTCACGCACCTTTATCTTCTACCCATCAGCATACTTTGCATAAAACCTGCAGTAGAACTAATTTTGGGACTCACTCATGATTGTACTTGGTTAACATTGTCTAAGAGAGTCCCAAGTTACTTGAGGGGCTGGTGGGTAAAAGTAAAGTGAATTCCATTGGAAAGATTACAGAATAATGTATGTTGCTTAGAAGTGAAATAACAGCATGACCCAAACAAAGAAATATGATTAGATTTCCTTGTGTAGTTGTATTGGACTTTTGTCTCCATTCTGTAGAAGTGGAGGCAAGCATAAGAGCTGGCAAAGTAAGCTTTAAGAAATTCTTCTGTTGTAGCAACAAAAATAGCGTTTACAAAATGAAACATGTTCACTGCAAGAACTTCGAGTTGTCCTTTATATTCATATCTGAAATCTATGGTTTAAAAAGGGGAAAAAAAAACCCCAAAATGGGGGGAGGGAGCAGGGTGCTACTTAAAATTAAAGCATTCTGTAGGTATTCTGCATTGTAAACTTTGATGATCATAATCTGTGATGTGGCTTCTTTTTAAGATTATAATTTAACTTCTAAAGGTATTATTTTTCAGCAAGCTTTGAGATCAGCGTAAGTAGCCAAAATCAAGGATAGGATGTAGGATTTCTTATGCAGTAAAGCTAGGAGGGAGAAAAATCTAGCTTCTCAGCAGATTCTTTTCATCGTAAAGCCTTTATTTTTATATTTGTATCCAGTGGCTAGAGCATTTCTGTAGTTTAAACGAGCTACAATACCGTATTTAGTGTGTCAGGGTGCAGCAGCTTTAGCTATGGTTGCTGTTCACGGGTGGCTGAGCTGTGGACATTACATCTGTAAGTGGTGCAGTAGTGGTGGGGATCCATAATGGAAATCACATATTTGATTCCGTCCTATCATGTTTGTGTTTGGATAGAGGCTACTTTGTCTGGTACCAAAACCATGGTATATTGATCAAATTTAGTAAGTATTGAAAGAATAACAATTATATAACAAGTGCTCACTTCAGTGTCTTTGAATACTTAATCTGAGTTCCAGTTAGAGTTTGAATATTAGCAGCTCTGCAACCAAACCTGATGAACAGCCCCCTGCCAAACTATCTTCAGAAAAGTGTTCTCAAAGCTGAATTTGAGCTAGAAAATACTAGTTGAATGTGTTAACGATGATCTTTTAGCTCTTAAAAATGCTTAAGAACATGAATGAAATTAATAAGCTTAAAAAAAAAAATAGTTCCAACTTGATTTGTTACAGCTTTCTGTAGGTAGGAAGCTACTGACTGTTTTGCCAAACTGTGTAATGTGTGAACACACACACACAGAGGTGCATGCACACACACGTTTGGCTTGTGTACTCTGGGTGGATGCTGTCATGAGTATCAAGTAGGTATTGTTTCATATGGAAATGCAGTGCATTTAGACCTGCTCACTGCTGTTTGGTTTTGTTTAAACACCAACATAAAAAGCAAAGTATGGAAAAGCAAAAAACCCCTGGTGGTAATAACAGCAGCTAGTTATTTTACCTGCTTGGTTACAGAAACAAAAGACTTTGTCCAACTTTATTTTTGAAAGATGCTTTGGCTGATGTTTGATGCATTCTGCTTGCCTGAAATTAAGTTTTGAAGTATATTTGTGACTGATGATAGTAAATTTCTTACCATGAAGTCAAGGATGTGTTTGAATTCTTAGAGGGTCTTTAATGCAGGGCATGGTTTGCAATTTTAGCTGATGACTTTGACTTGTTTTGTATTTTAGGGTCCTGGATGCTGCTCCGATCTGGCAGTTTCATTCCACTATGTTGATTCCATGACTATGTATCAGTTGGAATATTTGATTTATCATCTCCGTCCGTATGGGTATTCGTATCGGTACAATCCTGATGCAGTAAACAATCCAGAAGAGCAGAGCAAAAATGAAGCACTGCAGGATAATCAGAAGCTAAAGCAAAAAGTTACTGAGAGTTAATTGGAGTTTGAAGAAAACAGAAAGAAGCCAGTACAATGAGTAAGAGTCTTCTCAAACTCCTGCATGAAGCTTGTGGACTGAAATGACTGATAGTGACTCTTATTTAAAAAATCACGTTGGCAGTACTGCCCATTGCTGTCTGTGTACAATAGAATCTGGTGCTGGCTCTGACTGTTCAGGATAGTGTGATCTTGCAGCACTGCTCAATGAAGATTTAGAGCCCTAAAGCTGTGAAATAGGAGGTTGTTCTGGTACACTAATATCTGTAAGAATTTGTATAAAACACATAGTGGATGGGTTCAAAGATGATCATACAGTATTTCTGTTCCTTTTTCTGTTCTCCTTTTCCTTCCAGCTGTTCTGTTAGGTAAGCTCTAATGGTAGAAAGTGGATGCTGCACAAATACTTGATGATGGCTTTCTCTAGTATTCTTGAAGCTACTTTGTGTACCTTGCCCTACAAGGGAGAGGCGTAAAAAGTCTGATGTCTGCTTTGCCTTAATGGCAGACTGGCTGTTACGAATAGGCAGAGATTCACCCGAAAGATTAATCTTGAGTTGTTTCAGAAATAGAATTCACTGCTATGAATTATTTTTAACTTTTTTAAGTCTCTTGTACAAAACAATATGAAGTTGGATCACTACTGTTTTAGGGAAAAACCCAGGAATGGTTACTGATGTTTCAATTGCTGAGGTGAGGCAAGCTGCTTACATATTTACCTGTGGCTTTTTTGTTTGTTTTTCTTTTGCATTAACTTATCGTATTGGTTGAATGGTTATGAAAAATTCATCTCAGAATTTCTTAGCAAAAGATAAGGTAGATGCTTTTTGAAATAGAAGCCTCCCTTCCTTCCTTCCACGTGAACCAGGAAGAATAGTATCTTGGCAAAGTTGCAATGTATTATAATAAGTTGGTTTCAGCCAGTGTTATAATTAGTTTGTTTCCATTTAATTTTCACATCACTATACTTTGAGATTGTGGAGTTACCTTATTCATTAAAATTTTACAGATACAAAGAAGTCCTATTTTAGAACCGCAGCAAAGCCGATTTGACTGTTTCCCTACAACTGAAGTACTTAATTTCACTCTTTTTTTTTCCGTCACTTTTTTTTTCCCCCCTCCACTTTTAAGAATTTCTTCTGTAGCTGCTGCTTGTTACTTTTTTCAGGACAAAGTATTAAATGATCCTTATTTCACTCTTTTTGAAGCTGAAGTATGTAGTTATTCAGGTAAGCCAGCCTGAATGCAGGAATCTTTGAAAGTGCATTAACTTTCTCCATTACTTTGGGTATCTTTGCCTTTTAACTGAAAACACTTTCTTGGTGTGGGACAAAAGTAGGTGTTTTAATTACTGGAAGAATTTCAGAGGCCAAGTCTATGTTTTATGTAGTTAACATAAAACTTTCTGGTTTTCTCTTTTGAATTGAGTGAATAGCAGTGTGGGGGATGGGATTAGGCTTGACATGTAGTGTGTCTTTATTCCACACTTGAACAAAAGTTTTATCATCTTTTTATCACTTTTCACCTTCATCATATTGATGAATTTGGACATAACCTAATTACCTCCAGTCATTGTTTTGGAAAGGGCACATACTGGTAGCAGACAGCCTTATTTACTACTGCTGTCCTTCAGGATGTTCCTGGAAGGGGATGTTACCTGGAAGTACTGGATTTACTGGATTTACTTTTTTTTTTTTTTTCTCCAAAGATAGTTCTTGTACAGATTGGGCTTCTGTCTGTTGCCCATCAGTAAACGGTCATGACTTACTTTCTGACCATTGCTCAGCAGCGTGCTGGTGATTACTGAAGTAAGTCTCTCATGAAGTTGAATTGTTACATCTTCTCTGCCTGAATATAGGCCAGATTCATAAATCAAGTATCAGTTAAATGAATAGTTCCTGCATGGTTAAATCTGCTAGTCTTTTATCAGCAAGACTGCCTGTGAAGTACTGAAAGGGACATGAATTTTATGTTAATTGACTTAGGTAGGAAATTATAACTGCATTTGTTTAAAGGAAAAAGTCTCCAGTTTGCTCTAGTCAGAGGGATGCTTGTGCAGAGGAGAATGGATGGTACCATGCTGAAAGGTGCTTCCTGCTGTGAGCTAAATGTTTATCCCATGTGCAGCACAAGCCAATGATATTGTGAAATCCATGGTATCGATAATTTCCAGTGTATCGTTCAAGCATGCAGTTAAAATTTTCTGGGATACTCAGGGAAGTTATAAAATGAAACCAAGCTACCAACTTAATCTCTTGGTAAATGCAGCCCCTGTAGAAGGTCTCCTAACTACTGTACGGTTCCTTTATTTCTTCTTTCTTCCTCAGTTCATCTGTGGGGATTTAAAGATTTTCTACCACAAGAGGCAGAACTAATTCTGCAGATTTTTTCGCAGAATTGTGTCATGTGTTTGCCCTGTGCTGCCCTGTGAATTAACATTGTGTACTGTTCATGTTCCTTACTATCCTGACTTGTCTTTGGGTTTTCAATTTCATCATGTGCAAGTCTCAGGTGGACAAGAGGAAGCAGGTAGGGAGATGCTTGAGCTCTGCACAAGGCTGGTTGCCAAGGTGGCAAGTTAAACCAGGCACCACTGAGCTGCCAGTGAAGCATTTTCTCAGCAGCAGTTCCAGTTGTCTGCTGCCCAGCTGTGGGTTTAGCAGAGCCAGGCAGGAATGTCTCTTTCAACAAACATGCAGGACCTCTCAGGGAATGGAGGAATAAAAGAACAAGTTCCATTTCTTGAGGGAGTAAGGCTAAGAACATACTACCTTGTGATAAATAGGTGGCCTGTCTGGAGAAACAGGAGGAGCCTTTCTTCAAACATCCATTCTTGCTTTGTTTTAAAGTGTCCTTGTGCTTAGGCCTCAGAATCTGTTTCTTTTGCCTTCCCAAGAGCACTGCAAAGAATTCTTCTTTTCCTTCCAGACAAGCTAGAAAGGTATCAGTTTTTACATTCTGTGATTGTAATAGAGGGCTGTTGTTCTGTGTTGAGTTGTACTGCCATAGCAATGAGCTGAAACCTCTGAAATAACTGGTTTGTATCTCACTACCTTCAAAAGCTTCAGTAGACATGGTTAGAATGTGAACAGTTGGTATAATTTTCATGTATAATAATCCATGATAGTAGTGGTAGTTATTTCACCCCAGGTCTTTGTGCTTTGAGAAGGCATTTCTTGAGCTTGAGTACTTCTGCAGCCCAGGGAGGCTGCTGTACTCGAGGTGGATAGACCTTCCTGAAGCACAGTGGCACAGGCTCTCTTAGGCCATACAGGTTATTGCCCTGTGCTTTTGTTTTATTTCTAGATGAGGCTTCTCAGTTTTGTAAGACCTAAAAGCTTTCATTGGTACTGTAGTGATTTAAATGACCCATGTAAAACTTTTAAACTCCTTTTCTTGAGATTACTAGGCAGCAGTTGCTTGCAGCTGGATGTGGGGAAAGTCACTTAGTGTAAGAGAGTAACATTTTAATGCTGTGGTAAGTGGGTTTAGTTCAGGAAGAATGAGAATGCTAAGAAGTTACTTTCTGATCACTGTTCATAATCAGAGGATAGTGTTCATCTTTGCAGAAGAGGACTGATTTTAATCTTCTTTCCCAATTTGGTTTGTTTTTTTGGTTTTTTTTTTTTTTGAGTCTGTGTTGGTCTTATTTAAGAGTTTAAATGCTGGTGACATTAGCGCTATCTCCTGTTTTGTGGCAGGTCTTTTTCCAGTACCTTTTTCTTTTAAGGACACTTCATTTATTTTGCTTTGGTGGAGATACATATTAAAAATCTCTTTTTCTTCACGTGTTGCCATTTGTTCTGTTAGGCTTCCAGAAATATAAATTTTAGACCTCTTAGGAACAGTTTGCTGTTTGAGCAGGGTGTTTTATTGTTGTATGACAGAAAAATGCGGGTTATTTTTGATGTGCCTGCTACTGATGTTGATAGTGCAGGCATGGGTGAAAATAGATCCCTCAATACAGGACCACTTGTAAAGGCAGTTTTGCCCTTTTTCTGTCAAGAAAAGCTTCTGTGGAACTCAAAAGTGTAATTTCCTTTGATTTACAATATTATATTTAAAATACTCCACAAAGGTTGTTAATGCTTCAAAAGAACTGAATATTGCTGCTGGATGGTATGTTCCACTTCGAACCTGTGAATGTTTCACTTTGCAATTATAAGTAGTCGTGTCCCTAATGGCATGTATGAGTTGGTGACTTGTCTGGAATGTTCACCATAAGGATTTGTTTCTTAAATACCTTCTTTGAAGTGCCTTTGACCAATTTTTAGCATCAAAATTAAGTTGAAATTTGAATAAATAAAATAAGTTATCTCATACACGGTTCATGTCTGTCTTCCTTTACCCCTCCTGTATGCTAGCAGTGTAGCATAGCAGCACAATTTAGTCTGATAAAAACATTCTTACTTTTGGTCTTGGGTGGGTACAGGAAATTCAAAAAGCTTCTCGCACTTGCTCAGTTTCCTATTATATTTATGCCATCAGCAAATAAGAAGCTACCGTGAAAACAAAGATGGTATTATTTAAGTGTAAAATTCATCATAAGTACTAGTACTAGATCACACAAGCAGGCTGTTGTTTCTGCATTGGCCTCATTTTTCAGTGTCTCCATGTTGTTACAGAATCCCAACTGAACTGACTGTAGCTGATACCTCAAAGATAAAGTAAAACTGTTCAAAATTAACCACCTTTTTTTTAAAAAGGATTTGTTCTTAAGGTGAACCTCTTCTGCAAAAAACCTCACAATAGCAAACAGAAAACAAACCAACAAAAACGAAACAACCTGTTGTTTAATTGCTGTGCTTTCTCACTTAGCTTTCTGCTATTCATGCAGAATAATATCCGGCAATACAGAACATTCTACTTATGCAGGTGGGAGGTGTCTTTGTTTATGGAATGTTGGTTGTTGCACATGGTAGGCATAAGCATGGTACAGCTGTGTTTTATTGCCCTAAGTACGGTAATGGACTCTAGAATTATTAACGTGGATTAATTGTT